CCGACCTCCCCCCCCACACTTGCTGGGAACGCGGTGACTGCCGGAGATGGGCCTGTGAGCGAACCGGGGCAGTGCCTGGCCTGCTCTGGTTAGACACCCAGGCCAAGACCCGGTTTGTGGGTGTGTGACTGTGTAGGAAGCGGTCTCCCTGCTGCCCTCAGTGCTCAGCCTCGTCCCGTCTCACAGCATTCGGCGACTGTAGCGTCGGCTTAGGACGGGGCTCTCCGGGCTGGAGGGGTGGCCAGGACCTAAAGTCTGTGTCACCCTGGGCACCTGCGCCAGTTGAACCGAAGTGTGGATTTAAACGGACTGACGGTGGCGCCAGCTCCGGGCGACGCTGGTTTGTCTGGCTCTCTTCGGGTTTTGACAGGGGAGCAGGTTTCAGCTAAACCCAAGTGTTCCCACAGGTTTGCTCTGGTTTAGTAAGGGAGATGGATGCTCTCAGGCCAGCTCAGCCTGGCTCCCAAGCTCTGTCTGTGCTCCTGTCTCATTGCCTGGTTCCCTCTCACCCCTGTAGGCCTGGGGCTGCATCCTGACTAACGCCCCCCCGCACTGAACCCTTCCTGAGCCCATGGGTCTCACAGAGCCCCTCTGTCTGTGTCCCGGCCCTGTGGGGTTGCTGCTCCGACTCCATGGTACGGTGCTGTGGGAGCAGAGCAAGACGTGTTCCCTGCAGGAGGGGGACGGACCCAGTCAGCGTGAAGGCCTCACCATATCTCCTCTCCCCGTGGGTCTGGTCGGCTGCGCCGCAGCATTCTTCAGGGCATTGATCGGGGCTGGGTGCAGGGCCGTGTGGCTGCCTTGTGACTCTCGCTGCTAACCGGATTAGTCTTGCTGCTGCTTCGTGGGGCTCCCTTGTCAATTGCTGCCCCTGGAAGCCAGGCTTGGCTTGGCTGGGTTTTTCCCTGCCCCTGTCGTGGGCCAGCTGGGATTCTGGCTACCGGGTCTTCCACCGGCTGGGTCCTGGTGCGAAGGCGGATCTGCCCCAGCCAGAGGTGAGGCAATAGAGCCAGTGGGCGACTTGCTTTCCTCCTGGCTGTATGCCATCCCCAGCAATGAAGAGAGAGCGTGTGGGCTGGAAGTGTTGTCTGGGGGTCAGGAGATGGGGGTTATTCCTGGCACTCCTTGCGGGGAGCTGCCCATAACCATGTGTGTCTGGGGGGCTTTCAGATGGGACGCAGTGCTGAAGGGCAGGGAAGGTTCTCTAGCCAGGAGATGGCAGAGGCCCAGTGCCCCGAGCACCTATCGCTGCTGGGCAGCAAGGAGCACTTGTCAAGCACCATAAGAAATGTGTGCAGCTGAGGGCCTGGTGCTGTGGGGCTTGGGGTGTGTGTGGGGTCCTGCTTCTCTAGCCCCCCTTGGCCCAATGCACTCTCCCAGCCCTGTCCTCCTCTCTGCTTTTCCTGGGATCCCGAAGCACTCCGCAAACGAGGAATGAAGCAGGTAGATCAGTGTTATGCCGTTCTGCAGGCGTAGAAGGAAAGGGACTCGTACAGGGTCACCCAGTGAATCAGTGGCAGAGCCAGGAGCAAAACTGGCCAGAGTAGCACTGAAATGCAGCCACCTCTGGGGTGGAGGGCCACAACGCACCGTCCTGTGTGACGGATGAGTGGAGGGGAGTTTGAGGATACCAGGGAAAACCTTACTACAGAGGGAAAGTGCCCCCCTGGGTGTCCTCTGGCACTTCAGCGCACGAAGGGCTGAGCTGGACCTGATGGGATTCGACCCTGTGGTGCCAGGGAGTCCGACTTTTACACCTGACGCTCAGGCTGCCTGGCCATCCCCTCCCAGTGATGGGGCTCTCTGGGAACTTGGGCCTGGGCAGAACCTGGGCAGGGGACACAGCACTCCAGGGTCCTGGGCCCCCAGCCTGTGCTGCCACCGGTCCCAAATGGCTCCGTTCGCGGGGCTTGCAGTGGCATGGGGCCGTGGACAGTGGGGCGAGTGGCTGGCCCCTGAGTGCGGTGTCTGAAGTGCCACTGCTAAGGGAATGGAGCTGCTCTGTCCTGTGGGGGGCGCTCTGTCTCGTGCTGCGTTGCTGCCCTTCCTTTCCCGCCCGCGTCTCCTCCCGGGCCCCTGGGCCTGTCTGTGAGCCCCTGCTGCTGGCGCCGGCTGCTGTGTGTGCAGCATTGAGCACATGTGTGCTGCTAACAGACCCCGTGGTGCCCACTTGTCTCTTCCCCTCCCTCCCGCAGAGCAGGGCTCTTCCCTCCGGCACGCTACGCTGCCTAGGACTTTGCCCAGCCTGAGCCCCGTCCCTGCCACGGAGCCTCTCCTCCCCTCTCTGCAGTGTCCCAGCTGGCACGGCAGCAGGGCTGGCAGCGGGGAGGCTGTGGGGCGAAGGGCAGGGACCCCGTGCTGCCTGGGGGCCATCGCGGCCGTGCACCACTTCCTGCTTGTGGTCCCACCCCAGGAGGTGCCACCCACTGAAAGGGGGCCCGTGACTGAGCTGCTGACACTGCTTGGCTCTGGCCTGGTCCCGAGGAGGGCGGGGTGCTCGTGTGCCCTGCTGAATAACCTGCTGCCGGAACCGTGGGAGGCTGCAGCCGGCTGCTCCCAGCTGGCTGTCCCTCTGCCCCCTGCCTGGCTGCTTGAACCCCTCCCCAACCAGCGGAGAGCAGGGTGCTGGTACTGTGTGCACAGCTGTGGGACCTGGGGAGAGCCCCTTGGGCTGGGGGGGTGCTGACCATGCAGCTCATGGGTGCCTGGCTCGAGGGCTCAGCCCCTTACTTGGTGCACTGGGGCAGGAGTCACTGGCTGGCATGGTACGGGAGCCCCCTCTCTCCCCTGCCGGAGCTGCCTGGAACTGAGGGCCCTTGAATCTTGCCTGTGCAGCTAGAGCCAGGCCCTGGGGGTGCTGAGGCCTGGTCCCTGAGCTCCCTCTGTCGCTGCCAGTGCCCCCACCACGTACTCCTGGGATCCTGACGGCTGCTGCCCTTGATAACCAGCCCTGGCTCCTCGCCCCAGGCTCCACAGCTCAGACCTGGCAGACGTCCCTTCCCGTGGGGACCCAGACACTGCCCCTGAGGCTCCCTCCCTTTCCCGATGCTCTGACCCCGTCCCCCTTCTGTCTGCTGTAGTGCTCTGGGCCCTCCTCTGCCCTGGCGTGTGCCTGGCGCTGTGTGGGGGAGGTGCTGGGGGCTCGGCTCTGCCCTGCGCTGGACTCCAGGGGCTGCTGGGATGGGGCCCAGGGTTTACACCTGCCATGGCCGAGCCGGTCAGTGGGTGATAGGCAGGAGCCAAGCCGGTCTCCTCACGGCAGCTGCACGCAGCAGGCCCGTGCCAGGGAAGGGTGCGCCAGGCTTTGGCAGGTTGGGGCAGGTCCCAGCCTGGGGATGAGGATCCTGCGCCCGTGCAAGTTGGTATGGGCTGGGCACATTCACATCACCCCAGCCTGGGCAGCACTGGCCATGCCATGAACCCACTGGGGCTGGGCCGGCTCTCTGCAGGTCTGGCTGTGCCCTGGCCAGGGGTCTCGGTGCCCTGGACTAGAGGGGACTTTGCAGATGGCTCCAGCTCTGGGCTCTGCTGCAGAGACTGTTCCACCTGGTTCCTGCCTTGCCCTGCCCCTTGGCAGGTGCCCAGGGGCCAGCCCAGCGTGTGTCACTCGCCTGCACCTGGGGGTGGTGTGGGCAGCTGCTGGGGCGGGGACTAGCCAGTCCCCTCGGACGTGGACCCATGTGGCTTCACTCACCAGGGGTTCAGTGACTCATGGGCCAGTGTCCCTGAAGTCAGGAGGCAGCTGCCTCTTCCCGGGGTCCCCTGCCAGGGGGCGAGGGGCAGCGTCTGGGGCAGAGCAGGCCGTGCCTCTAGCACTGCTCCCAGGCTCTGGCTGGAGAATGGGGCTGCCCCTGACTAGGGCCAGCTGAGTGCTGATGCCCATCTCCCAGCCCTTCAGGTCCTGTGGCTGGACCCCAGTGGCGCACGTGTGGGGAGTGATCTTCGTACATACCCTCCATGGGGACGGCAGTGAAGAACGGGGGTTTGTCATGGGGATGTCCAATGGACTGACCAAAGCAGAACCCCCATCCCTGCAGCAGGCTTGCGATGCCCATGTGCCAGGGGATTTGGAGCCCGGGACGCTATAGCAGGCCTGGAGCAGTTCGGTTGCAATAGGTCAAGGTGGAGATGGGTCCCCCAGCCCATGAGCGTGTGTCCTGTCTGCTCCCCCCAGAGCCCTGGCATCTCCATGGTGGTGGGGCCTGGGCAGGGCTCCTGCTGTGGTGCCTTCTCCCTGGGCATGGGTCCAGCCCCTGCTGCCTGGAGCCTGCCTTGGGGTGTGTGAGCAGAGCTTTGTGGCAGGTCCAGCCCCTCCGCTCGCAGGGGGGTCTCCAGGGTGGACTCCAGCGCTAGGCCTACAGCCGATGTCGCTGGCAGAGCAGCACCAAGGCCTCTGGGTGGTGAGCGAGTCCCGGGTGGAGCCATGTCCTCTCCTGGTCCCACTGGTCCCTTGACTATGGGGACAGGCTGACCCTCCCTGTGCTTCTGGGGCCCGGGGTGACAGGAGTGGCCTGGGGCAGGGGGTGAGGGTGCCTGGGTGGTGCTGCTGTTGCTCTGTGCAGAGAATGAAGTACTGGGGCCCAGCGGCTCCCAGGGCTGCCCAGCCCGTTGGGCTGCAGGAACGGGTGGGGGGGGGAAGTGGACCAGTCGACTCGCGGCACTTTGGAAGTTCCCCTTGGAGTGGGGATTCCTGGAGCTACAGGGCCCCTCCCTGGGGGTTTCCAGCCACGCCCCAAACTTTCCAGCTCCTTTACTGAGCAGCAGGGTGCCGGTGGGTTCAGGCACGCCCTGCCGCTGGTCCTGGTGGGTGGGGCTGGGCAGCCCTCACCTCCCTGAGCCTGGCCAACCAACACCTGGCCGAGGTGTGGATCAGCTGGGAAGAGGCTCAAACTCTCTGGTGGCCAAGCCCCGCCCAAGCCAGAGTTCCCGGGGTGGGGTGTGTGTGCGTGTGGGGACGAGCCCGGGGGGTGCGTGGGGTCGAGCCAGGGGCATGCGGGGACATGCAGGGCTGGGCCTCCCGTGCTGGGAGATGGGTGGGGGCGGCCAGGTCGGGGATCCCTCCTGAGAGCCATGCAGTCTGTTCCCTGCTGCTGCGAGTTCCCCCTTCTCACCCTGGTGGAGTTTGTCAGGAGCCTGTGGGGGCTCAGAGGTCTGGCTGGGGGGTTTTGGCCCTGCTGTCCCACGTCCCTCCCCGCAGAGACCCAGCTGCTCCCCTCTGTCCCCAGAAAATCATCGGCGTCTTCAAGCCCAAGAACGAGGAGCCCTACGGGCAGCTGAACCCCAAGTGGACCAAGTGGCTGCAGAAGCTGTGCTGCCCATGCTGCTTCGGGAGAGACTGCCTGGTGCTCAACCAGGGCTACCTGTCCGAGGCCGGCGCCAGCCTGGTGGACCAGAAACTGGAGCTCAACATTGTTCCCCGCACCAAGGTGAAGGGGGGCGGGGCAAGGCAGTCATTGTGTGGCCTGCTTTTCCACGCCCCGCGGTTCCTGCCTTGGCTCTAGGGGGTCCCACACTGGGAGAACGGGAACAGGCCAAACCCCAGCCTGCGCTGCGGGAAGGCCAGGTCCCACCCAGGCTCCAGCAGCTCTGCCTGTGCGCCACGCTGACCGCTGTCCCCTCCCCAGGTGGTGTATCTGGCCAGCGAGACTTTCAACTACAGTGCCATTGACCGAGTGAAGTCCAGAGGGAAGAAGCTGGCCCTGGAGAAGGTGCCAAAAGTGGGGCAACGGTTCAACCGCATCGGCCTGCCGCCAAAGGTAGGGGCTGTCGGACCCCCTCTGGGGCTGCCCTGTGTCCCCAGTCCCCTCACCTGGCCTCTCTCTGCTGCAGGTGGGCTCCTTCCAGCTCTTTGTGGAAGGCTACAAGGATGCGGATTACTGGCTGCGCCGCTTCGAGGCCGAGCCGCTCCCCGAGAACACCAACCGGCAGCTGCTGCTGCAGTTCGAGAGGCTGGTGGTGCTGGACTACATCATCAGGAACACAGGTGGGGCTGGCGCCGCGCCCGCTCCCAGGAGCCCGGGAGGGAGCCGGGGAGGGCAATGGGTGGGGGCTCAGCGTATTGCTGCCCCAGGACGGGGGGAGGGTGCGGGGGACTGGCTGGGAAGTCCCAGCACATGGGGTGGGAAGATTCCTGTCGCCATCTTCCCTGCTGCTTACGATACTGCACCAACCACGTGGACAAGAGTGGCTGCACCCCCTGCCACAGGGCAGCCGTGGCTGGGGTGGGGGACAGCAGCTAGCAGCACCGTGTACGTCCCTGACGTGAACGGTGTAGCCAGGAGAGGCAGAAGGTCACAGCTCAGGCTGGCCTGGCCAGGGCCTTGGGGTTAAAACCTGGTCTGCGGCCGGAATGCCAAGGAGCTGGAGCTGCTGTTCTAGCCCCGCTTGGCACCGGGCTGGGCAGGGGGGTTCATGACTGGCTCGGGGGGCCGCTCCCTGCTGAGCAGGGCCACTCCTCAGCACCGTGCCTGGCCTGCTCGGACTGGGGGTTGGGTGGGTCTCCTGAGCGTGGTCCAGCTGCCCTGGCAGGGCTGGAGGAGAAGATGTCGCTCCTGGGCTGTGCCTGTGAATGTTCCCAAACCGTTCAGTCTCTAGGGGTGGTGTTTGGGGCAGCCCTAACCGGCTTCAGCCCTGGAGCCGCTTCCCAGGGTAGAGTTCCCTTTGCCAGCCACTGAGCTCCCCCAGGGGCCCTCGTGTGCATGGTTCCACCCGCCCCACCTCCAATTCCTGCTGGAGTCCACTCCCCTCCCGTGTGCCACGCGCACCCAGAGGGACATGTGGCTCGGGGCCCGGGGTTGCCCTGGTGCTGTTGGAGACCGTGATCCCCGCGCCCGAGCAGGGAGCTTTGCTGCTACTCCTCCCCAGGCAGATCAGGCTCCTATAGTGACGTGGCTGGTTCTGCTCCCTGCAGATCGAGGCAACGATAACTGGCTGATCAAGTACGACTGCCCCCTGGACAGCACGAGTGTGCCGGTGAGTGTAGGGAGGGGGCTGGGCAGGGGGCGTGTAAGTCACTTGACTATTGGCAGCAGAGGCGAGTTCTGAATGCGCTGAGGTTCTGGGTACTCTCTCCAGTGGTGGGGAGTTCCCCAGCCCAGCCCCGTGGCTGGTTCTCGCCAGCCTCCCCTTGTGGCTGATGGCAGTGTGAGTTACATGCACCAAGGCTCTTGTGGAGGGAGGAGCCAGGGCCCGTTCCGTGGGGGTGTTGGCATAGGGACGCAGACGGTGAGCCGGGCTCAGCCATGCGGCAGGCTGGGGACGTGTTGCTAGGTAGACTCGCTATCCCCACAACAGCAGTGTGACATGGGGGGTCGAGCTGTGGCTTGCTCGGTTTCCCAGTGGGGTGAGGGCCCCCAGCCCCTCTGCGAGGCCCCAAAGGCTGTGTGGTCCCAGCCCCAGCTGCAGGTGGTATTGGCCAATTCTTGGCACTCTCTAAGCAGGAGGGGCGCTGGGAGCCAGAAGGGACCATTGTGAGCATCTACATCTGACCTCCTGGGTAACACAGGGCAGAGACCTGCCCTGCAATAATTCCTAGAACGGAACTTCAAAAAACATCCTGTCTGGATTTAACAATGGCCGGTGATGGAGAATCCACCCCGAGCCTGGGAAGTCGTTCCAGTGGTTAATGTACCCCTCCTTTCCAGCCTCTGTCTGTGTAGCTTCAACATCCAGCCACTGGGCTGAGTGAGACCTTCTGCTAGACTGCAGAGCCCAGGGTTAAATACCTGCTCCCCGGGCAGGTGCTGCAGACTGGGATCGAGCCATCCCTTAGCCATCTCCTTGGTTAAGCTAAAGAGATCGAGCTCCTTGGCCTGTCACTATCAGGCAAGTTTTCTAATCCTTTAATCATTCCCGTGGCTCTTCTCTGACCCCTCCAATCTACCCACATCCTTCCTGGCTTTGTGGGCACCAGACCTGGACACAGGATCCCAGCAGCTGGTCGCACCAGTGCCACACACAGAGGTAAAATAACCTCTCTGCTCCTTCTTGAGTCCCCTGTTTATGCAGCCCAGGATCGCATTCGCTCTTTTGGCTGCACCGTCACACTAGTATCATGTTAAAAAATTAAAAATAGAACGAATGGAAGAAAGGGGAAGTTTGGTAGAAATAAATATTCATCAGAAGTTGGGAAATTGTAGAAAATTTGATAAGGGAAGTCCAGGGACACATGGAGAAATCCATGGCCAGCGGAGTGAAGGACCATGAGGAGGAGCCTGACAATGGTATTGATCCATTGACAGATGGAAATGGTGGTAGAATGATCAATGATAATGCAGAAAAGGCAGAAATGTTCAATAAATATGAATGTTCTCTTTTGGGGACAAAACCCAAATGTCCTCTCATCGTATGGAGACAATGCTATTTCAATTCCCCTCGCATCTCCGGAGGGTGTTAAACGGACGCTAGTAAAGCTGGACATTTTTAAATCAGCAAGTCCGGGTAACTCGCATCCAAGAGTTTAAAAGAGCTGCCTGAGGAACTCGCTGGACCATTAATGTTGATTTTCAATATGTTATGGAGCCCTGGGGAAGTTCAGACGACTGGAAGAAAGCGAACGTTGTGCTAATTTTTAGAAAGGGTAACCAGCATGACCTGGGTAATTATAGGCCTGACAGCGATCCTGGACAAGATAATGGAGTGGCTAATGCAGGACTCGGTTACTAAAGGAGGGTAATGTAATTAAAGTAGATGAGCACAGATTTATGGGAAATAGATCCAAGGATGTCTTAGAGCTGTCAGCAGGAGACCTCCAGCGCACGTCACTCAAATCGCAGTCCCCTCAATTAGGTAGCTTTTTCCTACATGTTATAGACAGGTGTGTAAGGAGCTGGTCCTCCTGTTCCCTTGTGTGATTTGAGGGTCTGTAGTAGCCATCAGCTAATACCCCATCTTGTGCCTTATCCGCTGGGACATCGATACGTAAACATTCAGGATCGGTGACTGAAACGGGTAATGCTGTTTTTGACATAGTGCCCCTCCCCCTCCACCCACTCAATCCTTCCTAAATAGGTTATAACCATTGATTGATTTCAATGTCCCAGTCATGCAGGAGGTTTCAGTTAATACTGACTATATTGACTATATTATAATAAACGAGTGATTCCAATTCCCGTTTGTTCCCAGGCTCCTAACATTCGTGTAAAGGCAATTCAAGGATTTCTTCTCCATGTCCTTTGGCTCTTTAATTCTCTTCTCAACTTCTCCATTTTGTGCTGAGTGCTCAGGTCTGCCCTCTTTTTACCCAGCCCTTTGGCTATTTAACCCCCTCCTGACTAGACTGTCCCCAAGGAGACTGGTTCCCTTCTGCTGAGGTGGAGCCATCTAAAATACATAGCCCCTTCTCCCTTCAGAAGGTGGGCCAGTGTCCCACAATACCAAACCCCTCCACCACTTACCTAGCCAGAAGCTTCTGCCTTCCTTCGCTTGTGGGACAAGAAGGATCCCAGAGAAGATCTCTCGGAAGCATGCTGAAGAATGTCCAAGTCCCCTGAAGTCCTACGCTCTGAGATCCTGCAACGCGGAGTCAAGTGCCAGCATGAGTGATCACCACTGGATCCTGGCCCAGCAGCTTCCGACGGCTGTCCGATCTCAGGGACATCTCCTGCCTTGGTTCTGGGAAGGCAACGCGTCATCCCGTTGTTTGCCTGTCCTTTGCAGAATGTTCTTTAGATTCTTCAGGGGACTGACTTCCCCACAAGGATCGTCCACCTTCCTTGGACAGTTGGAGAACTCTTTGCAGGCGAGCTTGATTTTCGTACAGATTGGGCTGAGCTGCCATCTACGTGTCCCTTCGTTCCCCTAGACCTTGAGAGGTATCGTTCAGTTTCCATGTGGAGGACCTGGTATCGATTCAGAATTTCCAGCTGTTCAGCATTCCTCGTGGCCCTCTTCTGTGGTGGCCGCAGTCTGACCTCCTCCTCTATCTCCAGCCCTGCAGCATGCTCCCGTGACCTGGTGGTGTCAGGCCTCCTCTGATTCCTTAGTGGCCAGCTCCATTCGTCCTTGAACCTGTGGGACTGGGATTTTCTGAATCTGACTGGCTAGGAACTCCTCAGCTTCTTCGGAGCGTTTCAACTTGCCCCTCCAATCCACGTAACTTCTCTTCCAGCTCAGCCACCACCTGGCCCTTCCTGCCCAGACCCTCCCTTCTGGCTCCAGACACGGAAGAGAACAGGGCACGGCCATTGCAGTTCAACACCACTCTTCATCGCTGGCCATCCTGACGCACACCTAGTGCTGCACCGGGACGGTTCCTCCCCTCCCCAACTCCCCTGTTCGCTGCCGCTGTCCGGGGCTCTCAGCTCAGCTGCACCCCTGACTGCAAGGCAGCGACTAACCCCTTAGACTGCCGCCAGCTGGGCTGTTCTCATCATGCTGTGAAGCCGTCGGGTCTCTGCCAGGAGCGGGTGGGCGAGGTTCTGTGGCCTGCGATGTGCAGCGGGTCAGACCAGATCACAATGGTTCCTTCTGGCCTTGACCTCTCTGATCAAAGCGCCAAGGGCCAGAGCCTCAGGGCCTGCAGCAAGGCCCTCTGCTTCCTGCGGGGACACGGCCCCCCTGCACAGAGAACACTCAACCAAACAACCCCAGGCAGACCAGATGCACCACGGCCTGGCACTTCCAAGCACAGTTGGCCGCTCCGCCCTCCGAAAGCCCCCTGTTCGCCGCAGGGCAGTGGGGTCCTGTCCGTGCCTGGTTTCCTGTCATGCAGACCTTTCGGGGAGGGGGGGGTGCCTCTCAGCCAGTTCCGAGGCGACAGCCCCCCAGCCTGGGTCCTCATCCCAGAAGAAAGGCTCAGCTCCTCCAAGAAATGTACACACCTAAACTGGAGTGAGACCATCTACCTTGGCATGTCGCTGGGCCTAATGCCAGCCCTGAGCCCTTGTGCAGTGCACTGGCTCCTGCGCGCCTGTCTCCCTGTGCAGTGCGCTGGCTCCCGTGTGCCCGTGCCCAGGGCAATGCCA